ACACAGACAACCTCTCGTCAATATGCGTTTTTTGCATTGCATAGCTGCAAAAAACGCATAAAAATCTAAAATATGAACGATGTTCACTACAGAAGTAAAATGCTTTACGTTGTTTCGGTTCACTAAGATTCTTGGCTGGGCAGCCATTAAGATTCTTTGTTGTTTCAAACTCTCAGGGGTGTGTTCTAAAGTGATTTTTATTTTTAACTGCGGCCGGAAAAAGCATTAGAAGATTTTTTTGGAATTTTTGCTTCGATCTGCGGGATCACGTTCAGGTGACTAGCGAAGTCAGTGAGATGAAACCCTTGATAACGACTGCGGTTTTGAGGAGGAATTCTTTAATGAAAAACTCGGCTTCAGTGGTTATTTCCAGCTTTTTTTTTTAATGAAATTTACTCTGTAATTGCTTGATCTTTTTTTTCGAAAGATTTTAGATTTTATCATGATTCCTAGTTAAATTTAGATAACTGGATTGGGAAACTATTTACGTAGGTTAAAGTTTTAGCGATCATTGGCAACAAGTCCTTGCTTCTGTATTCTATCCTTGCCCACGCAATTTTATTGGATTTTCGTTATTTGTTTTTTTCAGATCATTGGTACCGCACGAATGGCGAGCCATTCAATCATGTAGACGCGGCTTTCACGCTTGCATATGCTGTGATAATGCTCAACACCGACCAACATAATCCACAAGTAATGAATTTTTATTACATGCGTCGTTTGGAGATATTTTTTGCTGCATGAACACACGCCAGCCCAAAGAATTAAGCTGTTCATCTGCTGATTTTGCACAATTTTTTCCAATTTTAAACGATTCATACAATGATTTTGCTGTTAACTTAACAGTCCTTCCGAAAATTGGCTTGCATTCCGATGTTACTGAGATGCACCATGTGCACATTGAAGAAGGACTTGATCTTAATTGCATATTACCGCCTGACGGGTGTGTGTACCCACCGCCTGATGGGTCTGTGTGCACCGCCTTTTAGGGTGTACCCAAATGATCGTTTATCTTCATATGAGTGGCACTCAGCAGTGCGCGAAGTCAGCTGTTGATAGCTTTTGGTGAGGGAACCGGCTACACTGAATTCAATCTCTCCTACATTTTCTTCGATAAACTATCACGAATTAAAATAAAAGGCAGTACGGGCCTCAGAGGTCCTGTGAGGAAATGGAGGAGAATAGTAAGCAGGGGCCGGGACGGCGCTAAAAACTCAGGTGGCAGAATAACGCTAAAAACGTATGTTCCTAAGTGTTTTAGTACTCTGCAGTTCGAATCGTAGAGTTGTTTCTAGGGATTTTAGCGTTTTTGCATTACGATTATTGTAAATATAATAACTATGACCAATTTGAGGTACGGCGTAACCAACGACCAATGCAAGCGGAATGTTTCAAGCGAAATTTATCCGGTACAAATGGCGGTCAAGATTTTGACCAGGAAATGCTGGATCAGATGTACGACGCCATAAGGTGAGTGTAAAGATACTAAAAACGTTTTTTGAGTTTCAAAAGGGTTCTATAGTTCCTGGCAGTGATTTTTAAGGAAAAAGCACGTACTGCCTGATGTCCTGCTGTCCCATCTTTCTTACTTAAATACACCACTACTTCACTAGCACATTGATTTTCCTTTTTTCCTACTACATTTTGACATTCATCAGTGGCATGCTTTTTAATAAATTTCACCTTAGGCGGTACTTTATAACTCGCTGATTTCTTTTGCGCCCCATGTTTTCCACCTTTTTGATTTTTTAGATTTTTTTAGCAGTTTTTTTTTGTCATTTTAATCAGTTTTTTCTCGAAAACTTGCCAGAAAAAAGAAGTATGTATGCCCTATGTTGTTTTTAGCTTTGATTGAATGAGTTTGTAACCCTGTTTTCACTGAAATTTTCCTTTTCAGAAATGAAGAAATTGTGATGCCCGCTGAACAAGTTGGAATTGTGAAGGAAAATTATCTGTGGAAGGTATGTCAGTGAAAAAAATAGAAATTTAAATTTTATTTTTGTTGATAATGTTCTATTTATTCTAGGAAATGATGTAAGGGAGGTTTTTTTGAAGGTTCTGCTTCGTCGTGGTGAGACAAGTGAAGGTGAATTTATACATGCTCCGGCCGGTTGGAATGACCATGATTTGTTTGGTATCATTTGGGGTCCAGCATCCGCTGCGCTTTCCTTTGTATTCGATAAAAGTGGGCGAGAAATCATTTTACAGGTAATAAGCTGATCAGTTGCTATGATCTTGCAAAATTAAAATTTTCCCCGTTTTTTTTTTACCCAAAAGTAGTGCTGTGCTCGTAGTTTTGATTGATAGCATGAATATCATTCAT